TTAAAACACACTTGAGTTTTCTGAAGTGCTTTGCTTTTGCAACTATTAAGCCAAAAGGTGGCATTCTTAAATGCTAAGTTTGATTGTGTTTGTTTCTTTAAACACGTGAAAGTCGGATACTAGTATCACAGTTGGTGAGAGACTTAAGGACTGTGTGATACCTGAACTAGAGGCTGCAGGTGCTGCAGTTTTACCCCAGGAGGGTCTCTTTTTTTAGTACACCAGCTTTTGTTTAGGCCAAGTTTTCTCTTACAAGCACAGACCTTGACAGAACTGCCAGATGCTGGCTACTGCTTTGGTATGATCTACTGCTTCCTAAGTTTTGTGTTCTGTATCAGGAAGGTTTTCAGTGTTTCCACTGAATTTACTGTACATCACCTGATTCTGTATTTCCTTACATAGGGAGGTTCCCCTCAGTCGCTTGGATTTCTAGAGTTTGAGAAGCAACAAATTAGCTTAAGACTTTCTCATCTTTATCTGGTAACAAGGCTTTCATTATCTTGTGACATGTTTTCTTACCAGCTGTGCCCTTTGTACAAATTTGTGGATTGGCATCTAGAGGGTGGCTATCAAACACATACTTCTCAACACTTGCAAACTTGCCCATTGTTCTTTAGCTATCTTTGTCTTTCCTATTCAACCAAAAAAATCTCAATCTCAGGCCATGTAGCAGGCTGTTAGAAAAAAATATCCTTTGTAGGTAGCCCTCAGTATAGTGGCAGCCACTGTCCAAAGCATTCCTCCTTGACCAGCTGCAGGTCTGCCCCTACTGTTACTCCACAGTGTTTGCAAGAAGGAGCCAGGCATCTTAATAATGGGAGCAGAATGTAGGAACTTAAAAATGCCATGGGCATTATTATAGGCAGTTGCTTTGAGTTTCAGTTAAATGCCTTTTTTTCTGTAAGAATACACAGACCTGGTCAGAGCAAATGTCTGTTGTGATATTTCCTAACCAACAGCAAATGCCTTGGAAAGGATATAAATCTAGGGCAAACTTGTCAGTCTCCAGAATATTCTCCTATCCCTCCTCTCTCTTACACTTCTGGTATTTCCTGCTCTGGTGGCATGATCTGACAGGAGCATAATAAGGTGACAGCCACAATCAACTGAAAGGCTAGAACTTAACCACTTAAAACTACAATCTTTGTCTCTTCAGTCTGCCTAACACTTAATTCTTCCATGATGCAGTGTAAGCACTGCTGGATTGTGTATGCAGTGAGTTGTCATTACTGCAGTAATCTTTCTGTATTTTGCCTTGAATGGTCTCTGAGGTTTTCACCCCCTTGTGGACAGGTAAAGCTGTATTTAAAATACAAAATACTTTTTCTGTTGGCAGTCATAGATGGCTTTATTTTTGTATAGAATTCATTTTCTGTTGGAAAAGATAAAGAGAGATGCTCTCCTCTTGCTTTATTGATTGAGTTTGATTATCAGACTTAAACTTTAAGGGCTTGGATTATGGCTTTACTGTGGAAGAGCCAGGCATATGCATAATATTATTTTGTCTTGTTGAAATAACAGCCCAGGTTTTTTTGTACTGTAAGTAAAATTGTGCTCTTCACTAAATTAGAAACTTTTCTCCAACAGCTTTGTAGGTAGGCTGATCAATCTTTTGGTTTTGGGTAAGATACTTGGTTATGGGTGGGATTGTAATCTGTGGTTGTGTATTTAACTAGTAACAGGATTAAGATTTTGGAGGAGACCTTTCAGTTTGTTTCATCACTGTAGTGAGGCTGTGTACTTACTGTGAAGAGCTGGCGAAGCGTGAGGGTTCTCTGCTTCAGCACAACTGAAGATGACCCTGGGTTCTCTCTCCCACCCCCAGCATCTTATTCTTGGTGGCAGCCAGTTGGCAAAAAGTCTGTTTGCCTTAACTCATGGTCATAAAAATACTGGGATGACAAAGCCCGTTTCCTGGTAGTAATTCTGAGCAGGTGACTTCTTTTGCCACTATTGTTTCCATGGTTGTGGTGGTTCTACGAGATGATAATGACCTTCTCTGCAGAAGACTGAAGAGATGCAACAGGGCTACTGTGTACCAACAGAGGCTGTGCTTCTTGTAGGACTGGCTCTTTGGTGAGCTGGACCTCTGTTTGAAGGGCTTGTAGATGGTTAGGCTAGAATGGATAAAATCCTGCAGAAGCAAAGCAATTGGTTAAATCTGTAACGACACCTTTGAGTGTGTTCTGAGAATCAGAGACTCATTTGCAGGGAACAGCAAGTCTTGCATATAGTGTTTTATTTTTTCAAATGTCCATGTTAAGACAAATCTTCTAGGGAAGGGACTGTGAAGGAAACCTGTAGTGCAGGTGATAAAACTTGCCTGTTTTTTCCCCAGTTGTTACAATTTACTGATCAGGCAGAAAGATCTTGGAAGCTGGTACTGTCATGTTTCTCAGCCTCCACACCTCTGGAGTAACTATTACATGTGTATTGTTACTCACACCTATCTCTAACAGAAGGAGCAATTTTTTTTTACTTCATCAAGAAGCAGGTTTTCTGTGGAAGTCTTCTAGTACATGTTGCAGTATGGCTGAATTGCTCTGTAGTTAATCCCAATGGATAAAGCATGGAAGGTTACAAACTGTTCTAAAGAAAAGCCACATCTTCTGTGACCTGTGCCTTGCTGTCTGGCAGAGACTGCCAGCAGGGTGCATGAGCTTGCAAGTGTAGTGGAAAGGACAGGGAATACTTCAGAAACCTGTCAGTTCCAGAGGAGGTGTTGGTGTTAGACAGCTTCCTCTGGCTGTCATAACTTCAGAGATCTAATGGGACAAAGTTAATGGGATTGTGGTTAGTTAAGCTTGCCACCTATCTAAACCCATGCACGTTTGATTAGAGCATCGTGGTCAGACCAAGGATCTTCAGACTGATGGTGGATGCCTGGGAATGAGCATCATAGGGGTATGGTACAGCATGACTGCCTCCTCCTCCTCCTACACCTGAAAGCATTTCTGTTCACTGAGGGGGTATTTCTTCAGCTCGGGAACTTCTGCAGCTAATGGCTGAAGGGAGGGTTCTGCGTGCACAAATCTGGGTTAATTTCTTAAAGTACAGATGTAGTGCAGTTCCAATGACTTGCCTACCTGAGAGCAGTTAAACATTAAGCTTAAAAAGCAGCTCCTTGCTGCAGCTTGGCAAAGGTGCCTGAGTCACAGAGACTGCAAGTCTGAATTCCCAGTTGTCATCTTGGTTCACAAAAATTAACACTGTCAGGCCTTTCGGCTTGGATTGTGCTCTGCTGTTTTAGGAACCTTCAAAATACGACATAAATAATTAAAAAAAAAAATTGAAGTAAATTCATTATCTAAATGGTAGGGTCATCCTTTTAGAAATAAGTCCTTGTGCTTGCGTTATTCAAGTAGCATACTGTAACTGTTCTCATATTGCCTTTAAGTTAAAGTACAAGACTGCATGTTTATGTTAGTATTTATGTATGCAGAGTGTTTTAGGGCAACTCTTGAAGTCTTGAGCAAAAACAGTTCACCATTTTACAATAGTAGGGTGGTGGTTTATGAAAGTTTTGTCAAATCCATGGTGGATTCTTTGTTACTTTCTGTGACGTGGAGAAGCTACTGTTAAGAACAGAGCCATTAAAAATTGTTCAGCACATGTGGAGACCTGTTGGACACTGGTAACATTGTTCCTGTGATGGAGAAAACCTGAGCCTACAGTTCCCCTTGCTGAGATAGTTCATGCCTGTTAAAGATGGTGAGTTTTGACACCTGAGGAAAAAGAGTTGAGCTTTGTTAGTTTGCCATTGCTTGTGCTGCCATTACCCAGCAGAAGATAAGGAGGTGAAATGATGTGGGAGGGTTGGTGGGTAGGCAAGGTAAATACATTGCAGAACACTAAACCAGCATCTTATGGGAGGCATAGCCTAAGGACATTGTCCTGCTTTTGGGAGAAGCTGAAGATGCCATCCTGGCAGATAGCTATGAAAGAGTTGTCCTGGTGAGCAGATGGGGCAGCTGGGGCATGGTCTCCTTCAGTAATGGTCTTGTTTTCTGTCTGGGGGACTCCCACCAGTTCTAGGGACTGGAGGGTAACTGGTGAATGAACTGAAACACTGTGGCATGATGAAACCCAGGATTCCTGGATGTCTTACACTAGGCTCTCAATTAGTGTGTATTTAATGTCTGGCTTTTCTTCTAATCTGTCACAGTAATCATAATGTGGTTAGGTAATGAAAGGATTATAACCTCCTTTAAATGATTGAAGCTTCTACTTCAGTTTGAGTATAGAAAAGCTGTATTTAGTAATAATTTTTCACATCAGGTTTAGGAGTCATTTTCTGAAGATTTTAACTATAAATTAATTTATATTTTGTATTACTTTTCAGCATAAGTAGCTGTTTGACATGGGTTTATAGGGCTGCTCTGTGTATCCTCAGGATGGGTTTTTTTTGTTACTTCTCTAAGCACCTAATTTTTTCTTGTGGTGGTTTCCTCCCGAAACCTTGACTTTCTTCTCTAATAATGGAACTCATCTTTCTCTACATCTACTCAAATCTGGTTACTTTTTGGTTAATTACTGTGTTACTCTATATTCCAGTTGACAAGTCAGTGGAGCATTCTGTAATTCCCTGGTCTGCCCTCACTGTGCTGAAAGCCAGCACACATTTGCTCATGGTCTTGTCACCATTCACTGCCTTTGCTGAAGCACTGTGAAGAAGGCATGTTCCTGTAGCACTGTACTGATAACTCTTACCTGCTGTGGAAAAACGTGCCTGCTGCTAATGCTAAATCCTGGTTCTGTCTCTTAATTCTTAAGAGAATTTTTGGGACTCGTGTCAAATGCATTTACAAGAACATCAGGTACTTCTTTCTGAACATGCCCATTGATTTATTTGTAATGCTCTGGTATAAAAGTGGTGAATAACTGTATGAAAGGAGGAGGGAGTCTGTTTTCATAAGCTATCAGTAACATGCAGCTTCTGTTGGATGGTTTGAAAGATGCTTCAGCTATGACAATAATTGTCTGATCTTTTCCAACTAGAAATGGTTGAATCAATGAAGAAAGTGGCTGGAATGGATGTGGAGTTGACAGTGGAAGAAAGAAACCTGCTTTCTGTTGCATATAAAAACGTGATTGGAGCCAGAAGAGCTTCCTGGAGAATAATCAGCAGCATTGAACAGAAAGAAGAAAACAAAGGTGGAGAAGATAAATTAAAAATGATTCGGGAATATCGGCAAATGGTAAGATGTAGTTGGTGTTCAGCATAATGCCATTTACCTAAGGTCCAGTTCTGTTACCCTTGCCATAAAGTGCCCTGATATTCTAGATTGCCTGCAGTGTGGTGGCAGTCTTGAGAGGATGAAGTTTGCTCCTTGTCTGGAAAATAAATGTGATTGGTTAAGGTTGAGTGTTTAAAGTTCTACTTCTGCTAGAAGCTGCTTTGGATCACACAGACTGACACTTGGTGCTGTTGCTCTGCTCTGTCCTACAGAGCTCAAAATATCAACACTATTGGTTGAAATGCCAAGGGGAAGGATCTTCAGTGCTCTTGGCATAGACACAGGCAGAGTAAAGCCAACTGGCCACTTTCTTTGACTCCTTTACCTTGTCTTTTACCACTGTGGTAGTTGCATTCCATGTACCATGGCCTTGTTTTGTTATTTTTTACCCCAGGTGAAAATGTAGTGAGTTGCTTTACAGGAAGTGCTTAGCAGTTGGGTGACAGTGAAGGATAGTTGCCTAGCTAGTCTTGTACAGCTGAACTGGCAGACCTTGTTACTAGCTCAGACAGCTATGCTGGTGTTGAAATGAGCACTGAGGGAGTATGGATTCTGTGATGGCATCTAGTTCTTAAAACACAGGTTTTAAAATTATTTTTGTGCCTAAGCTGGTGGTTGATACTGATTGCAGTTAAAGCAGTCAATCTGAGATAAAACACCCTATGTTCCTGGGGATGGGGGATGCTGAGATGGGCTTGGCTTCTCAACTGTGAAACTAGCATGTGTAGTAACCTCTAGGGCCTTGCTGTTTTCTCTCTTGAGAGAGGGAAAAATTGATCTACATATCTTTGTGCTGAGTCTAGTCAGTCTGTGCAACTTTACCTAAAATGGAGAACTTGGAGCAAAGCGACTTTCCTCCTTGAGGGCTAGTGAAAACTTCAGCTGTTAGAGCAGTGAGTAGTTGTTCCCTCCCATTACCCCCTCCTTCCTTAAATGATGGTTTAGCAAGGAGCAGGCATGCTCCAGTACTATTTAAATCCCACACATTTCTGCAGAGACTTAATCTCCACTATTTGGGGACAAGTGCCTCCACATGGTTCAGATCTTCACTTCCAGAGAAACAGTGGAGTCCGTTACATCACCTGGCACTGATTCATATACCACCAATGGAAATGTTGGCTTGGAAATCTTTTCTCAGGAATGGCTCTGGGCTACTTTCTGTTGACTCACAGGGTTTCTGTTGCTTTGTGGAATTGTTTAAATCGTGAGTTTCTAATTTTATGCTCGCATGCTGATGGGATGAGGCTCTGCCAGTCACATACAGTCCCAAATACCCTTTCTTGATATGTGTGTAAAATCTTTCTAACAGAACATAGAAAATAAGACAGTAGTTATCTGATGATGGTTTAAATTTGTCTTGTTCTCTGTGCTTCTTGGGGTTTTTTTGCATAATCTTTTGTGGGCAGTTGCTGTCTTCTGCCAAAGATCCTTTAATAATGAAAAGACTGTTTTTTACAGTCCTTTCAAAAACATCCCTCCTTTTAGAGGCAGTACCATGCAGAACAGACCAGTGTGCAAGAAATACATGTGTGTAGTCCTTGAAGTGTCTTATCAAGAAAGAGGCCACATGAAGTGCAGTGCCATGCCAACAGTACCTTCAGCAGTTAAAGCATTCAAGGGAATAGCTATCACAGCAGCTGTAGCTGGAAGGGTGCTGTGGAGGACTATCCTGTAGTCCTCTGTGTCTGGTCAACTCTAGCCTGAGTTTTCCAAGAGGCTTCTGTGTACTGTCTGTAGCTGAAGACCAGGTCCTGTTGTGAGTTAGCATCTGCTATAAGAAGAGTGATAATGGTTTTGGTAAGATGAGGTGGGAGCAGTAAGGGCCTGAAGAACATGCTGCAAAGGTTTGGATTCTGCTTCTCAGTGTGGCTGCTGGCACAGTAGCACAGCTGCCCTGGTGTCATGGTCAGTGTTTCTCTGAAGAGATGAGGCCCAGTGCAGGGTTGGCAGAGTTCAGGTGATTGTAGAATCATAGACTGGTTTGGGTTGGAAGGGACCTTAGAGATCATCTGGTTCTAACCCCTCTGCCATGGGCAGGGACACCTCCCACTAGACCATGTTTCTCAGAGCCCCATCCAGCCTGGTCTGGAACACATCCAGTGGTGGGGCAGCTGACCTCCCTGGGCAACCTGTTCCAGTGACTCACCATCATCACAGTGAAAAACTTCTTCCTGGTTTCTAATCTAAATCTGCCCTGTTCCAGTTTAAAGCCATTGCCCCATGTTCTGTCACTACAGGCCCTCATAAAAAGTCCCTCCCAGCTTTCTTGTAGGCTTCCTTCATGAGATTATGCTTATCTTGTCAAATACCTACATTTGTAGCATTTCTCAAAGTTCAGTGTTGTTGGGAGACCCTCCCCAGGCCTGAAAAGCTCTGAAGAAGGAAAACACTTGTCTGGGGACTGTCAGGCCAAGTTTAAAGCACTGGGGAGCTGAAGAGAAATTACATGTCCATAAAAACACATCTCTCACACCTGCCACCATGAGATGACCTTTCTGAGCTGTAGAGTTCTGCTTGAGTTGAAATGGAAGTTTGGGTGAAAGTAATTATTTGATAGTTTTGGTCTGTATCAGTAGTTATTATAATTTAACACATGGTTCTTAATTTTTGGAGTGAGTTTGAGCTACTAGCCAGTGTGACCTGGGGCAGAACTCAAGGGAGTTGGAATACTGAGGTCACCAGATAAATGCAGCAGAGCGTGTGCATAGCTGTGGGGGAAAATGTCACTGGCTTGGTTCCTGTGTAGACAGGCTGGTTGTGTGGGTCCTGTGGCTGTTTGGATACACAGGTAGGGACAAGGATACAGGCTTAGCAACTGTCCTGCCATTCTAGGTTCATGCTGCATCTCAGTTGTGAGGTGCAGCTATTCTGGGGGGCTACACGCCAAAACAGGTTGAAGTAGTATCCAGGCTGCCCTTCCTGTGGTTGCTTCCTGTGGTGAGTTTCCTTATTTAGGAGACCAGGTGGTTTACAGGCTTTTTTATCTGCAGAGCTGAGTCTGGAAGCTGCTTAAGCCAGCACTACCACTGAAGTACAGAGAGGCAGGGTGGGTTGGGGGGTCTCCCACACACCCACTGGGGTGAGCAGCCTGTCGTGGCTGGTCAGCCTGCAGTGCTGTGTCTCATACTGGAGACAGTGGTGATGGACCCTAAACTGCCTTTCTGGAGTGCCCTGAAGAGGCTTCGTGTGGGCCCTGGTGCTGTTTGCTGCTTGGCAGAGCTCATTGAGCCACGCTATCTAGAACAGCCCCTTTTCATAAAAGGGCTTATAGGGTTTTGTTGTTGGGTCTTTTTGTTTCATTCTTGATCAACTTGATTTGTATTAAATCCTTTTAAACTAAGCATGGTCGGGATATTTCCATTGCCCTGGACAGCAGCTGATCTCTGATAACTTGTGTGACTGCTCCTTTAAGCAAAGCTGAAAAGGTCTGTCTGAGATGAAATACGAGTTTGTACGTATATGGTTATTTAACAAAAGAGGATTAGAAACTGATTTAATTCTTTGCAGTTTTGCTGAAGATCTCTCTGCAAAAGAAGTCATTGAAAAAAGAGGATCAAGAGGAAAGAAGCTTGCAGGAACTGACTGCTGGCCAAAGGTCTTATAGCTTTTGTAGCCCAAGAATATATGAAGTAGATTTTTCTCAAGTGACCATATTTTGGCAACTTCCTTAAGCATTTGTCACATAACTTCTAAGCATAGCATCTAACTCCTCCTCTGAATGTTAGGGATCCTGACGCTGTACAGGAGACTTGCTGTGATTTATCTAAAGGAACTTCTGCAAATCTGTTGTACAAATCAATTTGTGCCAGTTTAACATCTATTCTGGATCTCTAATTTTAACAGCTTTTGAGGATAGGTGCTGTGGTTACAAACCCTGATAGTTTGGGAGCTACATGGTGTTAAAAGTATTACATGGCAAGAAAAGCGCCTAAAGGAAAAAGGGTAGAAAATGGCCTGGGTGGGAGGATAGGGAGGGATAGGAGACCAAATGGGGCTGCTCTTGAGATGGAAGACATGCAGTTTCAAGTAGTTTCTTGTAACTGATGTTGATGCCTTTGCTTAAAAACTTCTTCTTTATAGTAAATAAAAATGGCTTGAGCCAGGGTTGTCTTCAGCTGTAGGTGTGAAAGTTACTGTGACATCCTGAAAGAGCAGCCAAAGGTTATGAACCAACTTAACCACCCACTCCTGCTGTGAATGACTCGGGGTGCTCAGAGCAGGTCTGGTTTTGGCAATGTTGATGGCAAAAGACAACATGTTTTAGCTTTTTTTGGATATGCTTAGTTTCTTTGCTTTCAGCTGTGAAATTTTCTGTGGTAAAACCTAACCTTACAGATCTTGCTTTATATCCTAAATCGGAAAAAAATTAAGGAGATGTGGTCATGTTTTCAACTTTGGCTGTTAAAATCTAATATCTCTTTTTAAGTAAGGCTTTCTGTATTGATTTTCTTTGGCCACAGATCTCACTATTGGTGTGATGATTTCTGCTTTTTCTTGGAGATGTTGCACTTTGCCTTTTTTACCTGCTTCTGAAGTCTTTATCTTCAGAGTTCATTGTCCTTGTATATGACTTCTTTTGTGTGTGGCATATCTTTATTCTGTTCTGATACTCCATGGTTTTTTTTGTCTTGAGGCTCTTCTGCTAGAGCTTGACCTCCCAAGTACTTGTTAGAACCTTCTTCTGAAGGTGCCATTTAACTCCAGTATTTAATGATGTTTAGCAGGTTTGTATTAATTATGTTCAAATTGGCCCAGTCATTATTGTCACTTCCAGGGCAGCCTTCCAGGATCAAAACTGTAAGGAATTGGGAGTTGTGCAAGCCTTGCAGTAAGGAATTAGATCCTGGGACAAACACAATGCAACTGTCTAGCAAGATGTCTTCCAGGGGGTTCACAGTCCCATTACTCAGTCAGGCATTTGTCACACATCACCCCTTGCCTATTCTGTGTGCCAACTAATTATGCAGAACTGTTTTGCTTAATGCACCTGTGGAGCAGCTGAATTTATTGTTTTTTTCTTCTGTCCTCCCCCTCTTTGGATTTTTATAACGTCTGTTTGATATTTGGATGTTTTTGAAATAGCTCTTAGTTTATATGCTACCCTTGCTGCTTCTTTTCATTTTGGGTTTGTGGTTGGTTTTTTTAGGTTGAGACTGAACTGAAGTTAATCTGTTGTGACATTCTGGATGTACTGGACAAACACCTCATTCCAGCAGCCAACACTGGCGAGTCCAAGGTTTTCTATTACAAAATGTAAGTATCTCCTTGTAAGGCAAGGACCTTTCACTGTATCTGAGCTAGAGACAGAAGTAAAGCAACTATACCTGTGTTCTCTATCCACTCAATCAGAGTGATGTCTAGAAAGAGGGCAGTTCACTCCTGTTGAGCCAATATCCCTTTCTGGCTGCCTTTGAGGTGTTAGTGTCCTGATTGTGTGGTGTTTGGAATTAAGTCATGAGAACTTAACAAGCTGTTTTGCAGCTCTTAGATTTAAGAAACAACCAATTTCTTTATCTGAGCTAATAATGCAGCAGTCACATCCCTGCTTCAGTGTTGTACACTGATGAAGAGAAGAAAATTAGGTGAATGGATAAGTGTCATGAAGTGTCAACTTCAAAGTCGCACTGTCAGATGGAAGTTGGCCTCGGAGTGTGTTGCTGTAGTCACTAGTTTGATGCATATTTTTTACTTCCTGAAGCCTGGTTTAAATATTTAAGTGATCAGAGTGTTTTCCCCTGTAGCTGAATTATCTCTTCTCCTGCAGTCAGAAATCTGTGTGGTTAGATGAGATGCAGTTGCCCAGAGGCAGTTGGGTAACAGAGAGGGTAACTGTGATCTGAGACAGTCCTGCCCTGCTGTCTGCACAGCCATGCAGCAGCATCCTTTGTGTGTGAACCTGCTCAGCTGAGCTCTCCAACTGCTGCTGCACCTGGGTGGCTGCTGGGGGAATGCAGACCACTGACTTCTTACCCTTCTGTTTTCAGGAAGGGGGACTACCATAGGTATCTGGCCGAGTTTGCCACAGGAAATGACAGGAAGGAGGCTGCAGAGAACAGCTTGGTGGCTTACAAAGCTGCTAGTGACATTGCAATGACAGAACTGCCCCCAACACACCCCATCCGCCTAGGACTCGCGCTCAACTTCTCCGTATTCTACTATGAAATTCTTAACTCTCCTGATCGTGCCTGCAGGTAGGTGGTGCCTGGGAAGATGGGGAGGTTTTAGGTGAACACCAAACAAAGCAGAAGTGGTTGCTACTTGTGTAACTGCTTTTCCTCAGTGGGAACGCTGGCGTTCTGCCTGCTGGGAGTTGATGACTTGCTTTGTTTGAGGTCGGTTAACTGGAAAGGTTTTCAACTTTGCCATTTTCTTGAGTTCAGACCCATTTGTTTGTGTGGGAGGAGATCTTGTATGAGAAGCAGAGTAGTGATAACCTTGAGTTGATGAGCTAAGGGCAGTTCAGCAGCCTGCCATGGTAACTGTGTGTGCCCTTATCCTGCAGAAGGTGTGGGGTGATTTAACTTGCCTCTCGTGCTGTTGGCTGTTAGACAAGGTAATCACATAGCTAATTTCTGTGAGCATGTATGGAATGACAATAGCTCATCTGTCTGCAGGGGTTCAGCTCGTGTGAGCATAAAAGTGCTGATTGAAGCAAATGCCATTTGTCTTCTAGTCCTGTCATTGCAGGTTATATAACACACTCTTTTAAGCTTTTAGCAGGTCTTGATCAGTTGTATTGCAAGATGTAGAAACATTTAATAAAACCAATATTCTTGAGTAAAAAAGATACTTAAGCACACAAAGTGACAGGTTTTGAAGATGAGAGATACTTGGATCAACATCTAAACACTTAAATAATACAAAAACTTGCCACAGTAGCTATGGATGTTACATAGCCAAACCAGAAGATGGGTGTTCTCAGGCAGAGGTTTAACCTGTGTGCCTCTGGAGTCTGTTCAGCAGTGTGTGTTGAATCTGATCTGTTCTGTGCTCACAGGTTGGCAAAAGCAGCTTTTGATGATGCTATTGCAGAACTGGATACACTGAGTGAAGAAAGCTATAAGGACTCTACACTTATCATGCAGTTGTTACGTGATAATCTGACACTATGGACTTCAGACATGCAGGGTGATGGTAAGTCAGCTCTGCCCTAAAACACTGCTGTTCCTGGCCTCTACCAGAGAAGAGCACAGAAATGTGGATTGGTTTGGTGCTTTACTTCTGTCTCTCCTATAATTGACCCTCCTGGACTTCTGTCCTTTGTTGACCCTGGCTGAGTTGACAGGGGTCAGAGTAGCTTCTGAGATGCTTTTTTGCTCTCCCTTATAGAAAGGGGACATGCAGTTAATTAGTAACAATATTTTTGTTCCTCCTCACCTGGCTGTTGAGGCATCTGTGATTATTTTAAAAGCAGTGAGTTCATCTAATTCAGCTTTTTTTTCCTTAAGACTTGTCATGTTCATTTATGGTTGTCATTCTAACCACACATGAATTCACAGTGCAGGAGGAAATACTGCAAGTGATCTAGTTCCCTTTTTTTTTTCAGGTCACTTAATATTTCTGTTGGCATTTTAGTGGAAGTCTTAGTGCATCACACTAATGACTCTGCCTTACAGCACTTCCCATGTCTTTTAGATAGAGAAGAAACAAGTACAAAGAAGAGAGAGGGATTTTGTAAAATATTTGTTAGCAGGAGAGGGAAAACAGAAAAGCTTGGAGAAATCTAATTTGCTATTTGAGATGTTTGAAGTACTTTTAATCCTCTGAGAAATGCCAGGTTGTGACTCCTGAAGTGGGTGGGCTATTGCCAGAGCAAATACCCAGTCCCCATCTATCCCCTGGTGGTACCAGAGGGTGGGACATTGATTGCTTCTGTTCACTGAATCTGAGAGTCAGTGACATTTCTTGTGGGGAAGAAAAAAAATTGACATACTGAATGGACTTTTTCCTCTTATGTTTTTACATACAATGCTAAGTATAAGTTTACTCATTTAGTACTTTAATTATGTCTGATTCACTCATTATTTGTACTAGATTAAACATACTCTCTAACTAGAAAGATTAAACTCATGTTTTCTTCTGCAAAAACTATGTACTGGAGAGATAGGTGGAAAGAGCTGATGTTTTTACTTGGAGGGAGGGAAGTCCTGTTTAAAGTATGCTAGGTACTTAACATACAGAGGTTTGAAACAAGATCACTGCTGAGCTCCAGGTACATCAGTGTCTTAGAAAAAAACAAGCAATTACTTGAAGCATGGTGATAGCCATGGAGCTTCACTTTGGAGTGCTTTATTTACAACCCAGAGCAGTCTGTGGAATCTCTTCATTGGTTTTGAGTAGGACTGATGGGTTTGCTTTAAACAAGTATTGTTACATGACAGCTTCTAGTTCCTTCCACAGATTACCAGTATTGGATGCTGCAGGTCACGTTTTACCCCTATTTCTTTGGGCTTTTGGCAGAACTGGGAAAACTGTAACTGTGTGGGGTTTGGCTCCTGCATTCCCCTCCATCCTGGTGCTGCCTCGCTGGTCAGGCACTGGGGAAAGAAATTTCATTGTGGGAATTGGGAACAAGATATGGCCTTTTACTTTATTTCTTTAATGAAGCCAAATACCTGGTGCTGTGTGGGAACACTGAGGGTGCAGTTTCAGTGAAGTAAGGAGGCTGGATTGCTGCTGTGGGGTAGTAGCATTAGAACATCTTCCAAAAGAGATCTTTGTTTGCATGTGAGCTGAGGAACGTGTCTTATGTGTCTCATAAGTATTGCAGGAGTTCAGCAAGATGATTTCAGAGGCTCTTTCTTTTTGCATAACCTAGATTCAAGTTTCTTATTTCATAATTAGCTCCTTAGCATAGAAAAATAGGTATTTTTGTTCTTCCTGAACTATTTCAGATTACCCTAGTTGCTGTTTGATGCATGCCAGAAAGACAATGATTATAAAATTTAAGATACTGCAGAACTGCTTAAAATCATGGTGTAGTTCTTCAGGCCTACAAGAAAGACAGTGTTTATGCACAGCATTTAGACATGTGTGCAGTCAGGTTTCCCATTGCCTCGTACCCTGCTCATACACTGACTGAGGGCACTGACCTGTGGCTTCCAGAGCTGCCCCTTGCCAAAGTGGGCAGAGCCTTTGGAGGTGGGTAGCAGCTAACAGTGGCATTGGGAGGTTCCTCACAATTGCCAGTTTCCTGAGGGGTGGGGAGAACAGAGCAGGGCCTGCTCCTTTGCCTTAAGCTTTTGCCTCTTCCAGTTTCAGTGGTGTAGGCTGTGGGAGTGACAGTAACAGTCGGGTGTTACTCAGCTGCTGCTTTCCCATCTCACTCACTGTAGCTTTGAACCATGTCATAGACGAGCTGTCTAGTTTATTTTCACACTTGTAATGTCCTCTTCATATGATTCCTGTTTTCCCCTTCTTTCCTGCTGTATAGATTCCTAAAGGAAAGTCCAACTGTTCATTTCCTAAAAACTCTACTTTGTAAGTCTCCATCGTGGTGTAATGAACCTTTCAGTGCCAGTTTTCCTCAGTCACTAATCGTGCTTGCCTCTTTCACTCTTGCTGCTGATAAATGGCTTGTACCTTTGACTCCATTCCAGAGCTAAGCAACCTTCTACCACTTTGTGACCTGCTGCCCTGCCCAGGTCCAGTGCGCTTGACTAAGATCCAAAGTAACCTACATGTTTGGGGACTGAGCTGTGTACCTGGGTGGGCATTAAGAATACTTGGGCATGAAAAGTACCTTCACAATTGCCTGTTACAGGAGTATTTGCTTAAGTGCGTTGGCTAGAGCATGCTCAGATCTTCTTTAATCATCTTCCTGGGTTAGGGCCTCTGCTTTCCTCTCTTAAACAATCTGCTGTGTAATTAAGTGGTCAATTTTACTGTTGTTGAATGTCAGATGTCTTGTGTTCTAGGCCACCTCTTCCAAAATCTGCCTTGTATTGTATCTGGTGCTAATTCTGAATCTGGACATGCTCTGAGCAGGCATTCCAATTATATGCTGAAACTCATTAGTCTCATTGGATTGGATTTTATTGCTAATAATTTGTTTTAATGGGTAGGTTTTGTTTATTGCCCTTAAGACAGCACCATCTCCCATGGTTAAGTGTAGTTATAAGGAAAACACTTCTGTCTCTGAGGAATGAAGTTGGTGGAGCACATGGAGTGTCAGCAGGGCCGGGGCAGGGCTCTGCAGAGCCTGCTGCCTGTGCCCGCTCCCCGAGGGGCTCCCAGGGCACTGCCTGGCACAGCCCGCTGGGGCAGCTCCGAACCGGCTGCTCTTTCTTTCCAAGAGAAACAAATCTGCACAAAATGTTTTCCTGTAATAACCTCTTGTCACATTGGCTGTGGAGTAGGGACCTTTTTTCACACTTCCTTTGGTAGCTTTAGCACAGGCCATCAGTGTTTCCTGAAGCCGACCGCAGGACCTTGCGGTGGTTGAGGTGTGAGAGAACATGGGCAGGAAGAAGTTCCCTCTCTGACAACTGTTCTGGTCTCGTTTCTGTCACTAGTGACGGGATGTCCTTGGCACTCTGCAGCAGAGATGGGGGCTTGGGGAAGGTATTTTCTGATTGCAGGGTGTTGATCTGCAGCCGTTCTGATGACTGTGTGGCCGTGCATCTCTCCATCAACAGGACCGGTCACGCGCACTCTGTTTTTCAGAGGTGTTTTCGGGTGGTGTGTTGTCTGTTCTTATGACAGTATGTCACCTAATAGCCTGTGCTGCAGTTGTGTATGGAACCTGTGAGGTGGTGATTCCAAAGCTTGGTTTCCATGGAAACGCTTCCCTCCAGAACTGCCTGTTAGGAGCGTGTGGTTTCCGCCAGCGCGAGCGGCGCGTGTGCTTGCATGGAACTATTAATCTCTAGCTGCTGGTCAGGCCATCCTGCAGGGCTTGTCTGTAAAAGCTAACGCCTGTCTTACTTTTGAACACTTGTGTAGGTGAAGAACAGAATAAAGAAGCGCTGCAGGATGTGGAAGATGAAAACCAGTGAGACACAAAGGCCAACAAGAGAACCCATCTCTGACCACCCTTCCCCTTCCCCACAAAAACCCTCAGTGTCACTCTGAGAACCACCAAATCTGACTTTTACATTGGGTCTCAGAATTTAGGTTCCTGCCCTGTTGGGTTTCTTTATTTTTATTTTTTTTTTTTTTTTTTACACAGTTTAAAAGTTCTTAAAAGGCAAGAGTGAATTTCTGTGGATTTTACTGGTGCCAGCTTTTAGGTTCATTAAGACACTAACAGGACTGCGTAAAGGCTCTTTCAGCATTACTGTTGTCTCCTGCCAGATGTGGGGAGGTTGCTGTTAGAAGTGGATGCTCCACCTGAAGGCCCTTAGACTCCTGGGGCAGAGATTCCTTATGGCAAGGTAGTGCACACGTGGTTGCATTTTTCCTTTTTTTATAACTGTTTCAACTGAATTTTATACCAATGTTTAAACTTAGCTGGGTGTTTAGCTTGAAATTACAGGTTGCATTGGGACATCTATTGTAGTGGTTTTACTGTATAAAAAAAACAGAAGTTTGCAAACTGCTGAAATGTTGCTGAAAAAATCATGGTGCTGGTAACAGTTCAACAATCCGTGGCTGCTCATTCTTGCCTGTTCTTTACTCTTCCTCAAAGCAGGTTAGCATTGAAGGTGGCATTGATAAGCCTGCATGCGTGTTCAATATTTTTTCTTTCTCCCTCCCCTTTCCCCATCTCCCTTCGCTCGCTCAACCTCTTTTGTTCAGTATGTGTAACTTGAAGCTAATTTGTACTACTGGATATCTGACTGGAGCCACAGATACAGGATCTGTATTGTTCTTACTGAAACACAGCATGGAATTAACATTAAACTTAAATAAAACAAACCTAAATTAAAAATGCCAAATATTACTATGGCTTTCTTTTATATTTTAGTTATTTCAACAAGAATAACTTTCCTTTGTTGCTCATAATAGGAACACTTGGAGGAGGAGCTCTCCTACATCACTTACTCAGTCCTTCCCTGATCTGGCTGGTGCATTCCTCTCTCTTGCCCTTCCAGCATCACTCCTCATGCCGTCCAGCTTGGTGGCTGGGGAAGGGAAGTGTGTTATCCTCATGTCCACCCTGCTCAGCTGCTGTCCTAAAGTCTTCTGGGAATAATCTGCTCCGTGTAGTAGCTGAGCAGACAGGCTGGGCCTAAGAACCAAAGAGATTCAGGGGGGTCACAGGAGTCACACTCCCCCTCTCAAAACTAGTTAAGAAATGCGATGAAACAGTTTCTACAGCCACCAGCAGGTGTGTTTTGTACAAATTTATTTAGCATTGTCTGGCAGAGGTTACAGAGCAGGGACACAGCAGGGGCAGGACAGGCCCCAGCTCAGCCAGCAGAGCAGCGGGCAGGGCTGGGTGGCAGCAGCTTGGGGCAGGGCTTACCCACAGTGCCAGTGCCGGGTGAGTGCAGTGCAGGGCGGGTGGGGGGACAGGGAGGTGCAGCTGTGAGTGCAGTCAGCAGGCACCTCACAGAGCTGTCCCCCTGCAGGTCGGGTTCTGCAGGAACCGAAGGGGCTCAGCCCCACCTCTGGTCAGGAGTCAGGACTCGTGTCCCTTGGCTGGAGGGACGTGCCCCGGCCGAGGCGCTGGCAGCAGCTGCTGGGCAGGGCACTAACCCTCTCTTCCTCTGTAAGGCAGTACTGGGAGGCACCTGGATAAACACTGTGGGGCTTTACTGTGGGAACTTTCCAGTTATTGCTAAAAAGGAGAGGAGAAGCAGTGTGTGTTGTCTGAAGGTGCTGCTGGGGGCTGCGTGCGGGGGCTGTGGAGCTCCCAGACAGGCACAAGGTGGGAGGGAAGCTCGTGCACCTCCTGTGGCCGAGGACTACAGGTTTCTTTCCAGCCTGGAGCAGCGTCGGGAAGTGGCAGCCCCTGCAGTTTGTATTACTTGTGTTTGGATGTGGATATGAAGTTCCTATAGTATAAAAATATCACTATAGAGCAAGAAATGGACAGGTGACTTCAAAAAAAGGTAAGAGTCTCTGGATCCAGATCAGTGGACGGGTTATGCAATAGGTTTCTCAGGTTAATATCTTATATTCATAAGCTAAAACAATAAAAATTCCAAATCTAAAACACAAGTTTCCACATCAACTCCATTTCTTGTAGTGCATCTCTCATACTCACCTATAAAGTATTTACAGGGTTTTACTCATTTACACAATATGGCTTTAATATATTGTAACACAAAGCTTCAAAATGTCTCAGAGCAAAATTCTTCATAAAGCATTCTTTCTGAATATAAAGTTTGGCATTTCACTGATTTGGCTGACAAAGCAGCAGAGTTACTTGTTTTCTGACTGTGCATTTTGATGATGACAAGCACAAATTTTGGTCGTTTCCATCAGGGCTTAAACTCTCCCAAGAGTCAGCGCTGCCTCCAAGCCCAGCTGAACGTGTCTCGTGAGCTGTGGTTCCACAGGCAGGGTGGGCCTGTGCGTTGCCACTAAGCTAAGGAAGAGAGAGGCCTTTCTGCTGGAACTCTCACATTAAGACAAGAAAGCAAGATGTATTTTGTGGTTTTTCTGTAAGTGCAGGTCTTTGGTAACAAAATGAGCAAAGCAGGGAAGGCGGGGGGGTTTTGCTGGGAATGATGTCCAGCTGGTTTTATAGGGTGCAGATGGAGGAAAAGGTCCCGTCCTGGTGGCACCTTTTATCATCGAGAATTCAGACGAGGAGCAACCTGCAGGAGAAGAACAAGAAGCAAGAAATGCATGTTGAGAGTAAAAGATGAACCAACAAGCTCTGGAAGGTCTGTAAAGCAAACCAAAGGCTGGCTTGTAGAATGAAGCTGCTGCACCACAGCAGGTGAAGTTTGTGCTGCTGGTAAGTGGATGTTGAAAGTAAAAGATGAACCAACAAGGTCTTGAAGGTCTGTAAAGCAAACCACAGGCTGGCTTGTGGAATGAAGCTGCTGCACCACAACAGGTGAAGTTTGTGCTGCTGGTAAGTGCTGCAGCCGTGGCCTTGGTGGGAACCGAGCCGATTCTGGTGCCTTGGGAACGTGGAGGAGGCCACAGGGCTCCTACCCCCCCTTGGCTGCATTAAAACTCCCCTAGGTCTGCAGTACAGGAAGACTTTGCTGAGGAGGAGGGGGCAAAAATGGGGAAGATGTTCCTAGGTAAGGTTTGAAAAGGCAAACGAGAAAAAGATCATGGGCTGTGCTGCTTCACAGTCTGAGGAGTTACTTGGTCTGCTGTTGCTGGCAGCAGTACAGCAGCTGAGCTCCTTTGAGTGCCCTTGTGCACATCTGATCCCTGTGCAGTCCCTGGGTGCGCTGCAGAGCAAGGGGGGCCTGTGGCAGTGCCACGCTGGTGCCTTTTGCTAGGATGGGCTGTTTGGTGAAGGGCAGAGTGGGAGTGGTGGTGCTGCTGCAGCAGGGTGGGACCTCACTGACGCTGGGGGGAGCGAGGGCAGTCCGAGGGTGGTCTGCTCTGGGTTGGTTTCTTAATGACCTTTAATCTGACCATGCACACAGCAGTTGTGTGGCTGTCTCTGACTCACAGGAGGACTACAAACACAATGAGAAGGGAGGAGGATTTTTTTTTCCTTCCTGTGTGTTTTAAATGACTTTAAAATTTTATTTGTAATTGAGTATAGCAATTAAAGCCTGAATCCTGGTGGAGAGGGGAAAGAAAGTGATTGACAGGACAATCACTCCATGAGTTTGAGCAAGCCTGGCAGTCTCTGGAGACTGCAGGAAGAGAAGTGCAGTGCAGGGCTCCAGCTGGGGAAGAGGCTGGGGAGCAGGGCAGTGCCTTCAGCACTGAGGTCGTGGGGCGTGTCCCCTGGGGCAGTTTGGAGCTGCTGGAGGTGAACTGCTGCTGCTTCCCAGCCTCAGCCTGGACTCACCACTGTTAGATGGCCGTTCTTGGCTTTGGCTATGAGCAGTTCTGATCCCGATATGAAGTCGATTATTCCTTCTTTGCCTTGCCCAACCGTAAATTTTATGCTGTGAAGAGGAAAGAACAGGTTGGAGGAGCATTTTTAACCTCTCCACTAGCTCAGTTTTACCCTTTTCCTGTGTAAGTGGCTGCTTTGTACTGATGTTCAGCTGTGCTAGGTCAGCTTAGTTCAAGAACATGGAGCCTTAGTTAAGATGCATCAGGTATCTTGATGCCATACAGGGTTTTTTTCTGTAGCTCTTGACTGCTGAAACAGAGCTCTCTTAAGAACCAACACCAGAAAGCCTGGGCAGCTCCTGAGAGGGGCTTGGCTTCACTCACCTGCCCTGGTTGATGTTGACATTATTGACTTTGTCTGCCTGCATGGCTGTTTTTGTGAGTGTCTCGATCACATGGTCACTCTGAAGTACAACATCTCCCTGGCAGGGAAGAGAGGCAGTGGTTAATGGTTGTTTGTACACTGTCAGTACACCAAAATGATCATGCTATAATTAACAGGGACAGAACCCTCTCCAGAGCTTAGCATGGAGAACACCTCTCCAAGCAGACCAAGCTTGGAGATCTCTGTGGTGGGTCACGCTGCACCTATGGCAGCTGATTTATTACAAAGTACCAGTAGCAGGGACAAGGGACAGCCCCAGTCCTGCTGGTGAATGAGCCACTGGTGAGCCCCACCTGTGAGCACAAGTTAATGGAACTGAAAAGCTACTTAGAGCTGGCACAAAATTAATGACTTAAATGTCACCATGTGTGTGCCCTCCCCTCTGCCCCCAGCTGGATCTTCTGCTCCTTGTGCTGTTAAAATCTCTTCTAGAAGTGGTGGAGTCCCACTACCTTCTGTTTGTTGTCCTCACAGTGCACGTGCAGCACGAACAGGTTATCACTCAGGCTGCTGACAGAGATCCCTGCAACACAGAACAGGCACTTGGCACCTGGCACAACACCACCCCCCTTCCTGCTGTGCCAGAGCCTGTCCCAGGCAGGCAGCAGCTGGGGTCTCCACAGAGACACCCGGACCCACACCCACTCCCTGGCCCCTCAGTCCCTGCAGAGCCAGCCCTGAGCTCTGAGTTCAGTGTTCCTGCTCCTGGGGCCAGCAGTGCCCTCAGCCATCCTGGGGGACAGGGCTCAGCCTCTGCCCAGAGCTGCTGAGTGAAAGAAATCCTCTCCCTGGGGCAGGGGGCAGGGGTTAGTTAGGAGCACTGTGCTCCCTCTCAGGAGTGTCTGTTTATTCAGGGGTTGGTTTTGGATCTTGTTTAATATCTTGACAGTAGACACCAACTGGATCAGCTACTGAAATGGAGCTAGCCCAGCCCCAGCCACAGTGAATGTACATCTCTGCTGTAATCATGTCTCCTGGGAGTCACAGGGCCCCAAATTAGTGTTGCCCATGGAAACCACTTCACACGGTGACAGTTACAAATGCAGTGGTTGCATTGGGCTAACATCAAAATGATTAGCACCAAAACTGGCTGTAAGGAGGCACTGGAGGTGAGCTGGAGCTGAGGCTGGGAGGTGAGAGGTTTCCCACAAAGCCAAGCAGTGACTACAATGCTTGGACAATGCCAGACAGACTCAGTGGCTTTGTCCTCTCGGTCCATGTCAAATATTTAGAGGGCTGAAAACTGCAGCAGTGTTCCAAGGAGCTGCTGAGTAATGGTGCAACTCCCCTGTGCAGAGACATGCAACGGGGGAATGACTTGGGATGGGTCTTGGGGGAGATGAGTAATTTTTGTGATATTTCATGCAGTTTAATTTTAGAAAAGCTCAGTTTCAAGATATTACAGATTTAAAATGTCTGTCAGTGTCAGTTGTTATTGTCTGGGCCAAAGACAAGCTGGTCACTGTTATCTACTGCCCTGTGCCAGGGTGCAGCCCCAGGCAGGCTGCCCCTCCTACCTGTCAGGTTGCCGTAGTCGATGCGCTGCTTGATCTTGGCCTCCTCCAC